GCCTTCCTGACCTCCATCCTTGCATTTCCTGATATTCTGCTTTTGTTATATGCCCCTCTTTCCATTTTTTAAAAACTTGTCCTTTTTGTTTTTCAATTTATCAGAGAGCTCTTGATGAAACCACATCATTCTCATCATGTGTCTCCCACTTTTTTTCCTCTTTGGTATTGATTGTGTTTGGGCCTTAATTATCTATTTTTTTTTCAGAATATCCCAACTCTACTGGATTGTTTTTCCTTTCAGGATTTCCATCCATGGAGTTCTTTCTACTTTTTCTCTTAGCTTGTTGAAGGCCAGAACACTAATATGCCTACCTTCAGTTCTCCATGCCTGCAATATGGTGAATTCTAGGATGACATGGTCACTCTCTCCCAAGGTCTTTGCCAATTCTGTTTATTCAGTTACTTCTTCCTTGTTATTAAGTCCAATAAAGTCAGTCCTCTAGTTCCCTTCTCCACCTTTTGGATGATGGAGTTGTCAGCAAGGCACGTCAAGAACCTGATGGATCTCCTGCTTGCCACAGAGTTTGATTCCAAGTTGATGTCAGGGTAGTTGAAACCCCCATCATTATAGTGCTGTCCTGGTATCTTGGCCATCTGGTTTGTGAAAACTTTTTATCTTCTGCTTGGTTGGGTGGCCTGTAGTACATACCCACAACAGGATCTTTTTTGTTTCTTTTTCCCTTAATATTCCGCCAGAAACTTTCAGCAGGATTTTTATCCTTTGAGTCATGAATTTCCATACAGATGTAGTAATCCTTTACATATAATGCGACTCCACCGTCCCTTTTGTTGGGCCAGTTTCTTTTGAACAAAATGTATCTTTCCAGTACTGTTGCCAGTCATGAAATCCGTCCCACCAAGTTGCAGTTATACCTACAATATCATGTTTACCCTCCTGTACTGGGACTTTACGTTCTTCTTGTTTGTTGTCCGTACTCTGCGCATTGTATGAGCATGCATAAGCATCTGAGCCTTTTAGTAATGTCCTCCTTAAATTTCCCTGCAGTATCTCCTGGTGTATTCTTGAGTACCCCTCTTATCACTTCCTTCCTTGATGTAAGGTTAACTGCCTTTGGTCTTCTGTTTCGGGTGTGCTCTAGGTAATGGTCTCCCTCTCCCTCCAGATTTAGTTTAAAGACCTCCAGGTGACCTTAGCAAGATGTCTTCCAGAGCCATTCTTCCCAGACTTTATGAGATGCAGCCCATCTCTTGCCAGAAGCCCTTCTTATCCATGCATCCAATCTTGATTAATAATAGAAAAACCCTGAATCACAAGTAAATAAATTGCTAAATTAATTACAGTGCTAAGTCATTTAGTACTGTAACAGGTTATTTATATGTATGGACTAGACTTCTCTTATAGACTTAAGACTGTTGCAAACTATAAAAGTTAAAACACACCTAAATCGGGTCTTACTTAATGGATACTTCAATCATACTTCAGCTTTGGAAAATGCTTGGAGCTGTTGGACACCATAAATCCCATGGAGTTGAAAACGAGTACACGATTTGATGCTAAATTTGATGCTTTGATGAAGTTTGGCTTTGTGGAAAACAATTACATAATTGGTTTGCTGCAATCTCAAGTTCTAGCTGTTTAATGTACATAAATTAATGTGATTGGTCCTTGGCAGTTTTTTTTAAAGTTGCTGTTAGCTCCCACTTTCTCCAAGTTTATAAAAGGAGCGAGGGCCTTCTTTTTCCATTTATTTGAACTATACTGGCTACTGTTTTTAGTTGCTGTCTAAACGTGGATTTAACCATTTTAAATTATTATTTTCTCTTGATAGCTAACTTAAGCAGCTCACGGATGGAGCGGTAGGGTATGAATTGAAATAATGAATACCTTTACAACACCATGCTAAAAAGGCCATCCATATATTGTTGATTTGGTTAAGCACTGAAGCACACACATAGCACCCTTTCATTGACCAAGCTATCAAGTAGAATTCACATCCTTCTAATTCTGTGCAAATTACTGGAGCTGTACAAATTCTTCCGAAGAGCTGCTTTGGAATGCCCAACAGCATGTAGAAAGCATGTCTTCTTCAATAAGGCAGTCGTGGCTTTTTCCAAGCTTGCACAGCCCCTGGCTGTCTGCGCATGTGCATACATGCACCTGCCCGTTTGCTTTGCATTTTTCCAACCTTAGAACATCATGCTTCAGCCTTTTTAGTGCAAACATTGTATAACCCCACTGACACAGAAAATGAATTCTGTAGAATCTAGTTCTCTGGAGAGGTCATGTCCCCACAGGCTAACCCAGTGAATCCTTCAGTAGTGAATAGTGAATTCAAGTTACCTCTGCATAACAGGATTTTTTGATCAATGGGTGTGTACCAAAAAGGAGGTGGTGTATGGTTAGTCTGCTAGTCCCATTTTTTTCTAATGATCAAGCTTTTAACTCTTTATCTAGGCCTGAAATACAGGTAAGCAAATACCTGATAAAATAGAGGTCAGAAGAAACCTCAGTTGGTTTATTAGTGATTTAGCTTTGTTGAATAAAATTTCATATATGTATATAATATATTCAGCTAAGCTAATTATACATCCATTTGACGATTTCATAGATTTGCATGATCTCTGGAGGTCACAGTTATTTCTCTAGGGGCAGAGTTAAAGTTACCATGGCATGGCGTGTCCAGTGCTAACAGAGGAGATGGAATCATGAGCAAGGAGTTGGTTTAAAGCCAAAGGAAATGTTGGCATGGCAGAAACCCAATGATTCCCCCACCCCCCTTTTTGGTTAGATAACATTTTCATTGATAAAATGAAAGGGTCAAGAAAATATCAGAAAATTATGAGGGGAAAGGGGAGGGGGCGGAGATCGAGAGGCAGTCCCAGCACCGTTCAGGCCCGCCTCTCTTGGCACGGAGATATTCCCCTGAACTTTAATCTTTACGGTGCCACCCAGAGAAGCCCCGCCTGATCAAACAGTGGGACCAGGCAGCCCGAACAGTTTGGTTCTGTACCCTTGACAGTCAAAAGTTCAGCGGCGAGCGGCTGGGCTGCCGCCGCCACGCCTTGCTTCTAGATAAGTCCGACGGGCGGGAAACTAGTGCGAAATCGGAGCGAGCGCCGAGCCAAGAAGTGAACCTCCCCAGACCAGAGGAGGGGCAGCGGGAGGGAACGGGGGCCCCGCGGGAGGGCCGCTGGGTGGCTCAGCTCTGTCTTGTGTCCTTTCCCCAGGTGAGAACGGGAGCGTCAACGAGGTGAAGAAGCGCTGCCCGGAGAC